GCAGTTGAGCTTATTAACAGACCAAAAAATGGGGTTCCTGTGTCTTTGACTTCACGAATCTGACGTATAGAATCCAAGTAGCACCATTCCAATGGAYGGCTTGGTGGATAAAAATGTTCATATTCTCTTTTWTWAAAACTAAAAACCTAAGAAAGCTAGCCTATGGCACCATTTAGCCTACATAGGAGATAATTTTAGYRATTCGATCCTCTCACATTTGTGCRGGAGAGAAKTGAMYTGCTAAAAATGTCTGCTACAGAGGCTAGGGTACCATTCTTGGAGTAAGCCTAATAGTTTTAATACCTGAGATGCCAAGATGTTTTCTGCATTCTTACAATTTGATTTGACATGGATTTATACTGGTGGATTAAAGTATTCTCCATATTTATTTCAGGATTAATAATCGCACACTGAAATAGCATATTAAAGGCAYCCTGTTCTCCAGCCCCCTCCTCCTGATTCAGTGTCGCCTCTTGTTAGACAATGAACTGTACCTTTTACATTAAAGTCCACCTCACCCAATTTTTTTAGTCGTGCCCAGGCCTCTTCGGCCGGCACATTCTTAAAATGCAAGCACTTTTTTAAGGTGGCTTCCCACAGTTGTTTTTCAACCACACCTCTCATTTTAAATTCGCTTTTTGAAAATATTGCTATGCACCAATTTGTTTCATGTTTGGACCAGTATTAAACCTTTGGCCAAAGTTTTGCTTGGCATAATATTTAGCTCTATCAACGTTACCTAGGCAACGGAATTTGCATTTTGTCGAAMTTCGTTTTTCYCAAATATCTCAAAAAATTGATGAGATCCAGAAAAGCAGTAGACATCACCATTAACTTCAAACTATTGCATAACGTTTTGGAATAGTTAAAAACAAATTCATCTGTTCGATTTYGAGTAATATGCAAAAATCACATCCATGAAATGTTTGTCAATATGTTAATGTGAATTTGTGGTTCATAACTCCTAAAMTTTTCTTTCCAAATGTAAAAMAATTGGGTGAGGTGGACTTTAYGGAACACCCAGATATTGTTATGGGGAAGGGGGAAGACAATGGCTGCAATTTGTAGAATATCTTACATCTACCATCCTTTCTGCCTAGACTAAAAATCATTACTATTAAAGTCTACCATTTGTAAATCTTTATATTGAATTAAATCAGTTATCAAAGACTTCAATTTCAACATCAAGTCAGAAATAGATCCTGAGGAAGCCGRCATGACAGCTGAGATTATCAACAAACCAAGGAATGGCATCCTTCTCTGTTTGATTCCAAGGAACTGATTGTGTTAAACCTCGATGAGAAGAAACTTTTGGAGTTACATGCATGATTAAGTGGATATCATCCRAACATATAGTCTCTTTGATGAAAACTCAGAGGTCTTGAAGCATGACCATATTGAGAAGGTATGTTACCAGGCAACCTCATTGTATGTAGTATGAACTCTAAGAATAACACARTTGTTTYKACTTGAAAATCAAACCACACCACAACATGTAGCTAGCAGGTAGCATGGACCTCTGGCAAAGTGTAACAGACGAGTTTGCACTGGATATGTAACAGTGCATTACAGTGAAAACAATTGTAATAGTATTCCAGGTTTCAAATCTCATGTATGGCATTAGTTCATTTGTTTCCTGGTTTTCTATTTGCTACAATACTCTGAGGTACCTTCCCGTTCAGCAGTTACTCCATATCATCTTACTTTTCCTTTTCCCTACATTTGATGTTAAACTGAGCAATCAATTCCATTAACTTGAAACTGGCAGTGTTGAAAACTTGCACTTCTTTATCAACTGAAAGTGAATTTTGATATGAAATAAAATATCAATACATAATATTATTAGTCATGCCAGTAATTGGGCTGGCTATATGATACTTTTATCTTCACTTGCGACAAGGACACAATGTAATAGCTTGATTCTCAACATCTGGTACTACCACKAATTACTGGAAAACACTTGTTTCTCAGCTATCAATTTGGTACTAGTTACCACTTATTACTGGAAGGGGTGACCTACATAGCACGCAGTTGATGTAATGTATTCATAAAATGTATTGTATTCCATTGTTTCTCATTCTAT